CAGCATACTTGATCAGATATAAAGACAAATTTGATAAAATATCCCTGCATATTAATTGTTATCTGGATTTTATTTTGACACCTGAATCACGTCAATAATCGATCGGGTACCGTATAGGAAAGGTCTTGATACTCTCTCACTCTCAACATATTATAAATATGAATTTAGTAAGTATGTCGCTTTATTATTATAGAAATTGCTCTAAATATGAATAAAACTTAAAAAAATACACAAATAGGTCTATATATGTTTTATTTGAAATGAAAGGTATTTGATCCGATTAGAAGTATATATAAACTGCCACTATTATGCTACTTGCAATGTTAGGGGTGCATGGAAGTCCCATATTAAAGCATCTCCAATAGAAATGTGGATTGGAGAGCTTTAAATGTGGACTCATCAATACTTAAACAGGTTGTTAACGATTAAGTGGGAATGAGTTGTGAAAATAGACAGTTAAACTAAAACCCGTTTTCCAATGCAATCGTGGGTTTTCCGACGGTGCTCCTTTTATTTGCTGCAAAATAAAAGAGAATTGAAATAAAATTGAATTAAGATAAATCCGTACAAATTTGCTGTGTCATAGCCTCTGAAAGGCTTTCTGAAATCAGAAATCCAAATTGACGGTTTGCATATTTTAGAATGCCAACTCAGACTCACTTTTAATACCCACATCCGAATTGGAGACAATTTCTTTACTTCTACCTTAATTCTATTCATGTGGCACTCCATTCTTTGGCAAATGTACCAATGCGGTCACCACATCCATTAGGCACATTTGCAGCCTTTCAAAAACAGACATGCCAATTAAAAATCTTAAAGTTGTAGCATCAACTACTGGAGAATACGTCTCATCATAATCGATTCCTGGCATTTCAGAAAAACCTTGGGCAATAAGTCGGGCTTTGTATCTAACGATTTCATTTTTCTCATTGCGTTTATGCACAAAAACCCATTTAAAACCGACAGGTTTTACGCCTTTTGGCGTATGGACTATTGGTCCAAAAACATTACGTTTTTGTAGCGATTTTAATGTTACCTGAATTGCTTCATTCCATTTTGGCCAATCATTTTTACGACGACATTCGTCAATCGATTTAGGCTCGTTGTCATCGTGTTCATTCATTATATATGTGGCAATGGCATATGAAAATATATCATTAACATTAATATCCTTTCTGTTCCATTGTATTCCATTAGAAACGTAATTACATTACTAGAATTTTTATCATTTGCTGCACCCCATTTGCTGCGGTCATTAGCTTAACCGCAGCAATAAGTGAAATTTTTTATGTATTTACGGCGGTCCAACAATAACCGCATCAATTCTATCCAAAAAACTAGACTATTCGCCGCGGGCTTAAAGGAGCCGCAACAATTAACGTGAAAAATTGGAATTTCGCGGCTCAATTGAAATTAAAAATTAAAATTATTTTTGCTTTTGCTTCTTGTGTGGTGTAACCGCAGCCATAACCTTTGAAAATAGGATAACCCTTGCAGGCCACTCGGTTTCTGGATACGCGGGCATCATTATCTTTTTCTTTCCAGCCGCAGGGCGCATGCTATCGTCATTCCAGCTGCACGTCGCCGCCGTCTGTGTAGGAGAGCCACGCCGTCGGTCAGCTTCGTCGTTCTAGCCCGCCTTCTCCGTAGGAAAGCCTCGCCTACTCCAGCAGTAAGTCCGTCTACTCCGCCCTTCTCAGCCGCGGCCGTCTCGCGCAGCACACCACACTCCGCCGCCCCCCTCCCACTAGAGTTGCCATACTCGTCTCCACCTTTTCCTGACCTTGTTTACTCAATAGAGGTTTAGTTTCTAACCATTTATCATACCATTATTCAATTGAATTTGATCAATTTTGAGGTTATTATTTATGTAAATTTATTGGTAGAATTGGTGTTTAAGTTCTTATAAATTGAGGTTTTTGGAATAAATTAAAGTATGTTTTTTTTATTAATTTGGGAAGAATAATAAATTGTTGGTCTGATTAATTACTACCTAGTGGTGGTGATGGTTTGGCCAATTGGGAGGATCGAGATAGAGCGGAACAGAAGAGAAAATCATGGGAGTGTGATCTTTAATTTTTCTTGCCTTTTGATATATGCCCTTGGCCGGCCTTCTCAAATAAATTCTCTTTATTTTGTAAAGAAAATGTTGAATTGATGAGAATTTATGAGATATAAAGAGGAGAATCACATCAGACAAGTAATTGGAGAAGAGAGATAAACTAAAGCAATTCAAAACTAGCTAAGACCGAGATGGTCGAAGTATGTGGATTCACAAAAGATAAACAAGCCTGGTGCCTTTATTTATGTAATTGGTATTATATATGTACTCATGTTTGTTCTGGTTGGCTTTTCTCAACATGACAGGTCCTATCAAAACCACAAACATTGGAGGGTATGGACTACAATTTTTTCTTCAATATGCAGCATTCTCTTTGAAGGATGATAATCTGGCTTTTCCACCTTGTTTGATCGTATTACTTATTCATGTCCTTTTATAGTGGTAGTAAATAAGTCTATTTGTGGGGCAAGCTAGGTGTGGCGTTGCTTATTGAACAACATATTGTCATTTCTAATTCTTTCTATTTGAGTGTGCAGCTTTCCTATTGTCTGACATTAAGTTACTGCAATATTTCATTCTTATTATTATGTTTCTAAGTGTGTGTTTCTTATTGTTTATTTGTTTTCCCCTTTTGAAAAGTATATTGATCATATAGGCGTGAACATGGACTTTGCTCTGCAGGAATGTTAACTTCAGTTGATGATTCCATATTTTTCTTATCAACTAGATTTTTACTAAAAAATAACTTGTTTTAGTGTATACATATGATCTTTCTCATACTCCATATGTAAACTACCAGATCATGATACCTTTAGGCTCATCTATTCAGGAATATTATTTATTTCATATGGTGAAAGTTCTGGTTGGAAGCAAGAGAAAACTTAATTAGAAATGAAAACCAGAACATGAAAGGCTAGCAACAATATAAGTTGTAAAAACAGGGGACTTTCTGAAACTTCCCGTCCCTCTTTGCTTTCAGGGGAGCCAAACAGGGCACGTTCTGACTCAAGGCATGGCAGGTCCTTGCAAGGAATTCTGGAGGCCCCCCTTGGAAGATTGCAAGAGTAGGGTGCTGCTATAGCTGGATTGGTAAATGATTATATTCATTTTTTTTGCTATTACTGAGCATTTTTCTTGTATTATGTGACCCCCTTGATCTTTTTTATGAGCTGTGAGCAGGTTGGGGATGCATCTGATGCCCATCCCGGCATGCCACAATTTGCTGAACTGGGTTTTGTCCAAGTATCTGTGACGTGCACTTTGTCGTGAGTGCACTCAAAGTAAATTCAATACTAACACTTATACGTAGTATAGGTGAAGTAGAGTTCGTATCCACAGGGAAAGGAATAACCTTCTTTTTATATAAATAGTAGATAAAAGGGGGGTTTTGATTGTTGAGTGATTTAATTAAATTAAACACGAAGATGAACGAGTTATATGGGATTAAATTCAAGAATAAAAGGGACTTGGTCTTGCTACTTTCCACTTGTTGATATATTTTAGTCGATCATTGTTATATCTATAACTTATCCCCTCTCGAATACTCAATCGAGGAGTATATCCAATTCATCGAGGGTAGTTATTAACAACGACCGTTCATTAATAACCCTTACTATTAACCAAATATAGAACAACGCCGTATACCGATTTAATAGTAGCATTTAACCTCTTTAACTCCTTGATGAAATCAATTGAGATTGATAACCTTAACACAACGGTTTCGGTTTAACCAACAAAATCAATCCCTCTTAAGTTTATTAACCACGACCGTGCATTAATAAACCGAAGTTACTTACTTATGAAACCTTCAACGTTTAACCATCGGTTCGTTGAACGTTTCTAGTAAAAATCAATGTCGGAACGTTAACTAATCGTCACTTAGCCACCCTCCGACAATGATATAGAATGAGATTAAGGGAAGAATTAATAATCAAGGGGAGAAAGTAAGAAAATAACTCACAACTTTAATAATCAATCAAGCTTCAAGAGCAAAACCAAGAAATGGAAGTTTAGCTCCTCATTTGGAGACTAAACATGCTATAAAATATAAGGAATAACTATTCTAAACTGAGCTTAAGTATATGGAAGAAGGGATGCCTCAAAGTGAAGGAAAATGGGGCTATTTATAGGTGTTTGAAGGTGGCAGGATCATGTACCCGACCGGGTGTTTGAGGTACCCGATCGGGTACTCAGCTGTTTCCGAGAAATGAGAAAACGTCACCCTATACCCGACCGGGTGTGTCGGTATACCCGATCGGGTATGGGATCGGATTTTCCAATTATATTGTCTCCACGATCCTTTGTTTTCTGGGATTTGATTTGGACACTGAAAACGGGTCAATACTCGACCGGGTATAGTATAGACCCGACTGGGTATATGAATTTTTTCCCAAATCAATTTTTGATCTTGTTTCCTTGCACACCTTTTGGTCTTTGGGATCCATTTCTTGATCCTTTGAGTGCTGTCAACCTGTCCTATGCTCAGAACCAAGAAAAATCCTAATCTAAACAATTTTACATCAATTTAAATAAAACAAAACATTACACCAAAAGTGTGTAATTTCCAAGCTAGTGAATCACAAAACTAATTAAAAATGTCTAAGTTTAAATGGAAATTACACACAAATCAATCTGCTGTAGAATTGTCAGTCGATCCCTCAACATCAGACCAGGAAGAACCATCAAGTGATGGTGATGTACCGTATTTTTCTGACATTGAAGCTATGGCTATTCTTGACCATTTCAATTGCTTATAAGGTATTCCTTCCTTCTTAACCATTTCATTATTATTTTTGTTATTATTCTTATTCTTATTCTTATTGTTTTTGTTTATGTTTGATTAAATTCATTATTCTTATCACTGCATCCACCAGTTCATTCATTCATTCATTGGCACAATTCCTACTTCTGATGTAATCCAGAATGTTTCAAACAGATTAGACGCTTCCAGGAAGGTCGTGTTAAAGGTATTCAAACTATTTATCCTAGGTATTTTTCTTCAAGGTAAATGAGTTCTTGGACCAATCTGCTAATTATCCATCTTTCTATTTTATGTGGTCATTCTCAATTTCCATTCATTTACCCAATTCAATTGGCATCTCTAGGTTAAGGAGTAACGCCTTTTACGCTTCCCATCCAGGATATTGATTTGCAGACTAATTTCAGTTGTCATATTTATTAAGATTGAGATATATGGTATATTACCAACGTGATAACTTTAACAATAATCTTACGGGTTAATTGTGCCAGAAGAGGGGATCCAGGACCGGCCTGTAATTCAGCAGCAATGATCGTTCGTTACATCCTCATGATGTATAGGAAGTTGAGTAGTTATTCCCTTTAAATTTTATAACTCTTAACTAACATACGAAGTATATTGTACTTGGTGTGTATGCAAAAATAACAGGAATGCAGAATATCCAATCCACCCTCGTGGTGTAGGGCTCCCTTTGAACCTAGAGGTATTTTAAGGTAAATAAGTAATTCCTTGTTTCTTTTATTAAACCGTAGCTTAGTTGCACAGTAAGATCATTTCTTTATTCATTATCTTAGGATGTGTTAATCAGTTAAATGTAAGCTGCTCTTCCATTCCCTCTGAACAGTTCGCTAATGGCCGCAGGTATGGTTTAATAAATATTCGTCAGACATGTTTATTACTTTTTGTTGAAATCTGAGAGTTATTTTTATGAAATTATATTTCAAGTCGTAATTTTACTAATTAGAAATGCTTGATATTTTAGGTGTACACGAGCACCTTACGAGATGAGGCTAAGTGGAGGAAATTGATGAGATTCGTGATAGATGGGCAATATATTTTTGTGACAATTTGTTGTAAACTCCATATCGTATTAAGAATGTATTAACAATATAATTTTTGTTGTATCGAACTCCAATAATGTTTGTGATTTTTGGATTGTTAGGATGGTTATAAATAAAGGTTTTGTGTGGATGTTTGATAGTGTTGCACTTGTGAAATTGTCCATTCAGATAAAATATTGTGAAAATGGCAGAAATTAAATTTTGCTTCACTACTTATTGCTGCGGTCGTAAGATAACCGCCGCAAATAACTAATTTTTGAAATTCTTAGCCACCCCTAAAAAATTGTTCTAGTTTCGCCACTGGTTAGAATAAATTATACTACGTGGAATAGAGGACTTGAGAAGTGGTAGGGTCGGATACCCGACCGAGTATATAGAGTACCTAAACGGGTATCCTCAGCGGTAGCATGGAAGTCATACTCGAACGAGTGTGTCAGCATACTTGATCAGATATAAAGACAAATTTGATAAAATATCCCTGCATATTAATTGTTATCTGGATTTTATTTTGACACCTGAATCACGTCAATAATTGATCGGGTACCGTATAGGAAAGGTCTTGATACTCTCTCACTCTCAACATATTATAAATATGAATTTAGTAAGTATGTCACTTTATTATTATAGAAATTGCTCTAAATATGAATAAAACTTAAAAAAATACACAAATAGGTCTATATATGTTTTATTTGAAATGAAAGGTATTTGATCCGATTAGAAGTATACATAAAACTTCCACTATTATGCTACTTGCAATGTTAGGGGTGCATGGAAGTCCCATATTAGAGCATCTCCAATAGAAATGTGGATTGGAGAGCTTTAAATGTGGACTCATCAATACTTAAACAGGTTGTTAACGATTAAGTGGGAATGAGTTGTGAAAATAGACAGTTAAACTAAAACCCGTTCTCCAATGCAACCGTGGGTTTTCCGACGGTGCTCCTTTTATTTGCTGCAAAATAAAAGAGAATTGAAATAAAATTGAATTAAGATAACTCCGTACAAATTTGCTGTGTCATAGCCTCTGAAAGGCTTTCTGAAATCAGAAATCCAAATTGACGGTTTGCATATTTTAGAATGCCAACTCAGACTCACTTTTAATACCCACATCCGAATTGGAGACAATTTCTTTACTTCTACCTCAATTCTATTCATGTGGCACTCCATTCTTTGGCAAATGTACCAATGCGGTCACCACATCCATTAGACACATTTGCAGCCTTTCAAAAACAGACATGCCAATTAAAAATCTTAAAGTTGTAGCATCAACTACTGGAGAATACGTCTCATCATAATCGATTCCTGGCATTTCAGAAAAACCTTGGGCAATAAGTCGGGCTTTGTATTTAACGATTTCATTTTTCTCATTGCGTTTATGCACAAAAACCCATTTAAAACCGACAGGTTTTACGCCTTTTGGCGTATGGACTATTGGTCCAAAAACATTACGTTTTTCTAGCGATTTTAATTCTACCTGAATTGCTTCATTCCATTTTGGCCAATCATTTTTACGATGACATTCGTCAATCGTCAATCGACATTTTTACGAGATTTTTCCCCTATTAGGGATGATTTTAAATGGACTAGAATTTTCTGATCTGATTTGGTTGTTTAAGTTTGACCATGTAGATGTTTGGTCTATATGTGTATTTTACAACTATGGAGTGTGGTTTGAAATGTTATGTCTAGTCTGATTGGTTCTCATTTGGAACTGAAATTAGTTCAAATAAAAATATCGTAATTTCTTCGTTACCTCGTTTAGAAGAACCATCACCCCCTTCTTACAAATTGTAATATAACATAGGCATGCAATGTGGCAAATTATTAAATCATAAGTTCCAAATGAGAAAAGGGGCAAATAAGCCCTCGAACTAACCAAAAAAGTGCAAATAAGCCCTTATATAGGATGTTCTGTCCGGGTGTCGCCATTTAGGGAGGTTTCCGGTGGAAATTTTTGATGAAATTTTTTGAGCATCTTATTCATTAAGTCTAGTTTAGCCATACCCAATTTCAGCTAAAAATTCAATTGGGAAGGCAGTCAAATGAATTTTTGAAGATAACTGCTTGTTGAACAACACAGTATATTTCAGAAAATCATTTGAGTACCTTCACGGTTGAATTTTTAGCTGAAATTAGGTATGGCTAAACTAGACTTAATGACGAAGATCATTAAAAAATTCCACCAAGAAACTCCCAAAATGACGACATCCGGACAGAGTCTCCTATATAAGGGGTTATTTGCACTTTTTGGTTAGTTCGAGGACTTATTTGCCCCTTCTCCCGTTCCAAATTATAAAATTATACTCCGTCCCAGGGAGAAGTTCCCGGGTTGACTTTCACACATATTAAGGAAATAAAGTTACTGAGGGGTAAATTTTACTGTTTGGCACTGTTTCAACACTGTTTGGCACTGTTTCGACACTGTTTGACACTGTTTCGACACTGTTTTGCACTGTTTTGATGTAGGATAACTTTCCATTTAGGGAAATGGGAACTTTTTATTGGGACTGCCAAAAAAGAAAAGTGAGAACTTGTCCCTGGGACGGAGGTAGTAAAATCTTAAGTTCACATATAACATACAAAGTATGTGATGTGAATCATAGTCATTTTTACTCATCTGAGTTATTTAAAATGGTAGATAGCTTAAGTAAGTAAATTAAAGAACTAACTTAGGTAAAAACTAAGGTAATTAAGTACATTAGTAAATCAGTAAACAAATTAAAGACCATTAAAATAAATTTAAAATCAAGAAATAAAATAGGAAGTAATTGAGTAAACAAGACACACTCTAACACAAGCTTAATTGTTAAAAGCCTAAAGCAAATTAACAATTCAGAAATTTTGAAATTATACTCCGAATTGTTGGTTTTATTGTTGGAATTATGCTCCCTGCATGGCTGCATCAGTGGCTGAATTGTTGAAACGAGCAGGTCGAGCAAGCATGCAAAAATATTGACTCTTCTCAAATTTCTCTCTTAAGTTTTCAAAGCCCAATTAGCAAATTAGGTCTGCCCGTTTGGACGCAAGTAACGCAATAGCTAAGGCTCCTGCGATGTCGTTCTTAATTTTAGTACTCCTATAACTTAACCAAACGATGCCGTTTGGATTAAGTGAAAACATAAGCAACCGGAAACATAGCATCGCAACAAGGCAATTCGCAAAACAACAGAGGAAAACGGGAGAAGAAGGTAGAAGACGACCCGGGGCGCCACATGACTTAAACCTATATATACCTTAATCACTCCGGCGAAGGGGTGGCGCCGGCACCGGCTCGCCCACCCCTGGTTCCGCCCCTGATTCTAACTGCTTGCTAACTCACGTCTCTTTGAATTTTCTCTCTCCCCACGCCTATGAAATTGTCCAAGAGGTACATCACTCGGTGCTCTAAAAACATTACCAAACCATCACAATTGAGACTCACACATCGTATATTTAATAAGTGTTTCTCTCACCTTTTGTCTGATAGTCTCATTTTTCAAGCAGTCTTTTCAATTATATCCACACATCTAATGTAGCATGTGTATCTGTGCTATACTCATCTTTTGCACGTTACAATGTGTCCCACCCAATAGACTATGTGATATAGTAATACACGTTAACTTGTTGGCTGAAAAATTACCCTCCAATATAGTTAGCATACTACATATCGATGACATGAAGATATTGACTCACTCTTCAACTTCATATATATACGATCAAAAAAAAACTTCATATATATACATTGCTCTGATTTTATGATTCAATTTTAAATCACTAACCAATCATCAATATGACACACCTCAACATTAACATAGGTGAGGAAGAATCAGTATTAAGGCAAAGTTTAAAAAAATAACTCACAACTTTAATATTTAACAAGTTTCAAAATAACAAAATCAAATTTAGATTCCTATTGGAATCGAGACACTAAAGAAAGTATAAAGAATATTCTAATATAAATTAAGCTTAAGTAAAAGGAATAATGAATTAATTTTTAATATGAGAGAAATAATACTCCATTTGTCACAAATTGAATAGCAAAAAAGGACTAGCTCAAAATTAAGAAAGTATAGAAATAGAAGTTGGCTTTGCCATTTTGCGCTTTCACAGGGAAAAAAATCTTAGAGATTTGATCAAGTAGAAAGTTGCTACACAAGAAGTGAAATATCGATCATGACAAATTGCTAACCTTTACAAAACAAAAAGAGAGACAATTTGTCACGTACGGTACATACGAACTGCCTAGCGCCTACCAGTAACAACGTACACAACAAAACGATTTCCATACACCTTCAGGATAAGCCTATTCCTTAGTTAGTTAGTTGCATCTTCTATACATGGAATTTCAACTTTTTCGATACATGTCTGGCAAAAACTTTCATACCACAAGGCCGGTCAAATTAACTGGCAAAATATTCCCATAAGGCGGGCCAGAAGTCGATAACTTGTTAACATGCCACAAGATCTTTCTTTTACAGGGGTTTGTAGTCGTCCTTGTAGACAATTTGTGCTATCGGAGACGAACGAGGAAAGCTTAACAGTTTCTTTGGGGCCGCTGAAGCCAAAGACTCATTGATATCTATAGCTTCACGAATGACAACGTGGTGGAGTGCAGGCGAATTTGAGAGTAACAATCTCACAAGGCACATTTCGATTTGGGTTCCTGTAAACTCATCGAGTTTCAGGGTCTCAAGCATCCTCAAATCCTCTTTACTAAGATCCTCCAAAAGTGTTGGATCTGCATTTTCAGAACCTTCCTGAATATTAATCTGCAGCGCCCATAGCTTGGGGGACTTTTTAAGTAATTTGACCACAAAGGCAAGATGGTAGTTAAAACCAAAATTGAAGCCATCAAGCTTGAGTTCTTGCAGATTTATTGCCTCAGTTGGGAAGACTGAGGCCATCGCAGCAGCCCTCTCCTTAAGAAATAGAAAAAGCAAACAAGAAAGTTAGCCATGACATAAAATTAAAAACAAAAGTGAAGTAAGAAGATAATATTCTATAAATTAAATAAGACTAAAACATAATACAACCTATACTTAGAAGAGAGATGTAGGGTACTAATGTAATTAATCGAGTAATAGACTAATAAATAGAAGGCAAAATAGCACTTTTAATCCATCAAAAAGTCGTCGTATTAAAATGTACGGGAAATATATTTCACCCTAAAGGACCAAATTTACCATAATTTGGACAATTGAGGGTGACACTATTCTCTGAAACAAGGATCTCACATACTATCTGTGAAATACATATCTAACATTTCAATATTGGGACAAATTTATTTCAGTATATGAAAAAAAAGGATCTCACCAAACAGAGATGTAGCCTACTAATGGAGCTCAAATGGAACCTGAGCAATCTGCTCCCAGTCCTCCCTAGAGAACCAAATAGAGACAAACTTTTAAGATTGGGAGCTTTGGCGACAAAATTAGGAATACCAGCACACGTATAGATATCCAGCTTCTCAAGCTTCGGCATGCTAAAGACCAGTCTCTTATCTTTACCCCTGAACTCCACCCTTCTGAAATTTGACGACGACAGCCCGGAGAATATACAGGGAGCATTTGCCGGCAAGTAAAACACGAAACGATCAAGTGTCAGTTGCTTGATGGTCTTGCATGACAATAGACAGGATGGTACCTTATACTTTTGTCCGGCATAACGAGCAGAGAGGTGAAGTTCCTCAACGCCGTTTCTTGAAAGAAAAAGACACCACCGGTCTATATCAGACTGTTTCGGCGACGGCAGGTCATATGAGCGATATATGTTTAAGGTGAATTTCTTTATAGGTGCTGCCCGGAGGAGGAGAATGTTGTTTATTATGCTTACCGCAGACAGGCGGCCGTCCCGAGAAAATTTACTGTTTTCAACGGAGTTGAAGAAGGCCCTGCCAAAGATGAGCCGCCCTTGGCGGTGCCAAGCATCCCTCCACTGAGTTGAGAGCAGAGCACTTCTGGCGGCGTCTCGAGTGGGCATCCGCTCCAAAATCCTTTCCTTTATCCCTTCCGGCAGTTCGCTTTCTGCAGCTTTATCTCGACTGGAGCTAGGCATGATGGAAAACAGCTTTGATCGGGATCTGGGGGTTTCTGCTTTCCCGAGGCACACAAATTGCAATATTTGAACAAGGATGAAATTCTCAAACATGAAACGTGTCTATTTGATTAGGGCAGGTCCTGTCCAGTTTTGGGCCTATGGGCGATATATTGTTATGGCCTTATTTCCAAGACAAACAGTAAATTATACTTACTTAAAGTAAAATTTAGGAAGTATAATAAAACTATGAGATAGTACTCTAAATACGACTAAAAACTAGGGGTGGACATAACGGTTTGGTTTAACTGAACCGAACCGTACCAAACCGAACTAAAACGAACCAAAACCGAACCGTATGCAATTTGGTTTGAGTTTGGTACTATTTCTTCCAAACCGTATTAAACCGAACCAAACCGAATCGAAACCAATAAAAACCGAACCGAACTAAAGAAACTCAAAAAGACTTTCATATATTATTAAAATTGGTGGGTTAATTTGGTTTGGTTTGGGTTTACTTAAGTAAACCATTTGGTAAACATTTGCTCAAACTGAATGGTTTGGTACTTTGGTGGTTTGGTTTAAAAATGGAAAAACCGTAAACGGAACCGAACACCGAACAACATATATATCTACTTTGTATTTATCTTCACTCTTCATTGTTAAGATATAAATAAATAATTTAGACATAAAAATACATATTTAAGCATATACTCGTATCATTTTGACTTTTACACATTTCATACATTCATTATGACAAAGTTAGCTAATACGACATATTTTTATTTATTATGTTTGGCGATAACAATAGCAAATTGCATTTATATTTTTACATGATTCATTTGAATAAAATTGTGAATATTACAACATTTGTACCACTAACCCTTTTAGATTTTTTTTGAATATTTTATGTGATATTATAAAGGGTTTTTTACAAGAATATTACTTAAATAAAACTTAATTACATAAATATGACTATTCATTACTACAACGTAATGTTGTGGTACTAAAAGTTCAAAACTTGAACATGAATTACTATGATTTCATTACTACTCTAGTAACTAATCATATTTTTGTAAACCATCTTTATTTTGGTCATATTTATGCAATTATTTCTATTATAAATACTAATCAACTATCTTATTTTTTGTAGGAAGTGAATTTTTTGTAGTGATAGAAAAGATGTTAGAAGTTTTAATTTATAATATTTTATTATTTATTTTTCTATCTTTTATTTCCTTTTACATTTTATTTAAATAATCAATAAATTAAAAAAGATGAGATGGACTACTACTTTCATTTTCTAATTCTAAAATATAGAACTTGATCAAATAAAATAATAAACATAAGCAAACGAATCAAATCAAATTAAATTAAACATAATATTTTTTACTTTGGTAAACCGAACTTCAAACCGAACCGAACCGAAACCGAACCGAAACACAAATGGTTTTAGTTTGGTACAAATTCTCCCAACCCGAATAAACCGATCTGTTCCACGAACCCCATCGCCATACCCTGCTTCTGTTCCACAAACCACCGTCCACCGCCATATCCCATAAAACCATACTCCCTCCTCTTCCATATATATATATGGAAGAACGGTTGGCTTGGCAAATGATAGATCGTCGAGTAGAGAAGATTGATGTATTAATTCCGTCCATTTTCACCGAGTGTTTGAGCTAAATAATTAATTTAGCAGCTTTAATATAAATATATACTGTTGTATATATATATATATATGCAAACATATACAGAGTATTGAAGATTTAGATCCACTAATCGAAGGCATGGAACATTGGAACGTGTGTGTATATATATCCTCTTGGCTCCTTATTTTGGAGCAATAATATGGGTTGAGTCCATTTGACACCTTTACAATACAGAGATGCTATGAACTGCACTACTTACACAGGAAAATCGGAAATCAAGAAAGAAATGGTGAAGGGGGCTGAAAGAGTGAAAGAAAGAAACTCGATAATTAGAGAGACGAGTATATATGGAGTATATTTTGGTGAAGGACATCTTTGTACTTTAACAAAACAATACATCAAAAATCACTTTTTTTATCAAACACTCCAACTTTACCTTTTTCATTTTAATCACTTCTATTCCCAAACACTACCAACTTTTACAAGAAATCACTTTTCCAATAATCTTTTAAAAAAATCACTTTTAAAAAGCACAAGCAATCGCAAACACTCCCTTAATAACCTATTGCTTTAGTTTTTTATTTGATTAATATGAAAATGTAATATATAAAATATTATTTAATGTTGAGTTTGTATTTTCTTTTCCAATCAACCTTATTTATTTGTGCACTAAAAAATATTCTAGGTATTAATGTTTTGTTTTTAAATTTTTAATTTTAAGATGATTATTTATTAGATTATTAAATATGGTGTGTTAATTACTAATATGAGGTTTGTGTTATACTAAAATGAGTAAAGTGCAAATAAATATGCATGGGTAAATATTATACAAAGAACACGATATATTTGTAATTCAAGAACAAAAAACTATAAATTAGTTTTAATATAAAAATATTATATTTCTCATTGTCATATATAATACTCCCTCCGTTCCCTTTTAATGTCTCGTTTTACCATATTGGGATGTCCTTATTTAATTGTCGCATACCTTATTTGGTAAAGTTTGTGTGGCTCAAAATCATTCTTACTTTATTCTTACTTTATCAATTAATATCAACCACACAAACCTACTGTTCTTAAAACTCGTGCCACCCTCTTCAGTCCAAATATAAAAGGGACGGAGGTAGTAATATTTTATTAAATTGTTAACAACGAATTTACTATAGAAAAAGGTTTGTGGTATAGGTGTGTTATATTCGAATGAGCATAACGATCAAAAGAAATGAGCATACACAAATGAATTTTCGAAACTCATTTTGTAAGTTATGTATACTCATTTGGTATTAGTTTGTGTTGTTTTAAAATGTCATATTCATGCATATTTCAATGCTATCAATTACATTAGATTCACATATGAGCTGATTATAGGCACGAGAGTAGAGATCATGATACCAAATTGCATGTTTCTAATACTCAATGGAGGAGGTTTGATGCTCAATGAAAATGTCTTGATGTTCAACTAACAAAGCTTATTATTGTCATGTCAATGTTCATTGTGTAAGTTACCTATGCTCATTTGGTATTGGTGTTATGCTCATTTTAAAATGTTACGTCAATGCATATTCCAAAATCACTATATTACATTAAGTTTACGTAGGAGTTGATTATAGATGCGGGAGAACAAACCATGATACTCAATTGCATTTTTCTAATACTCAATAGAAGATGTTTGATGTTAAATAAAAATGTCTAAATGTTCAACTAAAAAAACTTATAACTTTCATATTAATGCTCATTTTGTAAGTTACTTGTGCTCAATTGTTACTTCTATTATGCTATTTTTTAAAATGTCATAACAATGCATATTCCAAAAATACCACATTACATTAGATTCGCATATTGAAATTCATAGAAATTGGTTATAGATACTCTGTATAATTTAATGAGTTTTTATAAAAGAAAAAATAAGAAAAAGAAAGTGAATTACCATATATGAAGTTGATATCACAATACTCATTATTCGACTCTTAATGCTCAGTAGAATACGTCTGATACTCAGTAAAAGTGTGTTAATGCTCATCTAACGAAAACCTAGATTTACACTGAAATTACGAAAGTGCCACCGTTTTTAGTTGTGATATCAGCTTTTTTGTAATAACACAGTGCTCATTATTAGACGCTTAATACTCATTAAAATTGGACTATTGCTCATTAACAGTACATAATGCTCATTTAGCAAAAACCGCATTTTCACATTAATAACAAAAATGCCACCGAATTAATTTGTTATTTTCCCCTTGGGCTTGTTACTGGGCCCAGGGGCAGAACCTAGGACAACATGTCACACAGTTAGAACATGTGCGGAGCCTTCGGGGCAACTTTGACGGGACCACATACTTCGTCAACTTTCCAAATGGAGGAATCAACACATTCCAAGATCTTGTCAATCTCTTCAACTAGCACTTTGCGAGTAGAGGATTGATTCTTGAGAAACAAACTAGCAATCCATACCGTGTCATTCAACGACGAGGTGAGTCGCTCCGAGATACCTACACCGTTTCAACAAAAAAAGTGTCAATCCCATGATGTCTCATCGGTCATCCCAACAACGAGAGAGGACATCCCAACAAATAAGACCGTCATTGTTTCCTTTCTATATATTTACCACTTATACTATCATATGATCGATTACAGAAAGAGCGTAGGAAATCCTGGCCAAAGCCCCCAGATGAGCCGAAGCCCCCCCAAAGAGAGAGAAATAATTCTAAATCTTCCCAGTATAGACTAAACAGTCAAAACAGCCTCCTTAACTCTTTCCAGCTATCTTCTATTTATACTAAACTGATACACTTATTATTATTAATACTCTAATAGGCCCGGTCCCTTATTGTTATTAATACTCTAATAGGCCCAGTCCCTAACAATACTTCCCCCCTAAACATCCACCTTGCCCTCAGGGTGGGTGATAGCACACAACTATAATCTTCTTGTTTTCTTTCATCCTAGCACCTCTTCCTTTCTAATACGGGATTGATTTCTGGGCCCTTATCTTGGCTGCTTCCATTTTCTTCCCTATGTATTTCATAGCAAAATGACACAAAAGCCAGGACATTCTATCCAGAATTGACTTGAAAACTTCAGGGTACTCCTTTATAAACTCATTCCTTATGCCTTCAATTAACTGTTCTTGCTTCTGCTCATTACTTTGTCCCTCCCAATGCCATAAATTTCGATCACCGTGAATAATATGATTCAGCCCTTGTTTCTTCCATTTAATGATCTGGTTTTGGAAATTAACTTCCATATCACCTAGATCAGTCAACCATTCCATTCCTAACATGACATCAACTCCACCCAATTGCAGAATGTAAAATTTCTGCAGAATTTCATTTCCTTGTACTTCCAATGTCAACCCATCACACCTCCCATAGTTGTGAAGAAGTTCCCCATTCCCTATCTGCACTTTATTC